ATGAGACAAGTCATCTCGCCCTACAGCAAAAACATACGTTCAGCCAGAAGAAGAGTACTTTAGCCTCCACAGGTTGTACAGAATCACAGGGGTTGGAAGGGACCTCGAAAGATCATCCAGTCCAACCCCCCGTGTCAGACCAGGATCACCTAGAGCACATCACACAGGAACGTGTCCAGGCGGGTTTTGAATGTCTCCAGTGAAGGAGACTCCACAACCTCTCTGGGGACTCCACAACCTCTCTGGGCAGCCTGTTCCAGTGCTCTGTCACTCTCACAGTAAAGTTTTTTCTGATATTTACATGGAACCTCCTATGCTCCAGTTTGCATCCATTGCCCCTTGTCCTATGAAAAAAGCCTGGCTCCATCCACATACCATGCAATCCTACATACCACGTTCAAAGGCAAATACTTGAAGTAAACTGAGCTGAATGTTGACCCTGTTATCAGAATGACAATTGCAGGGCCACTCGTGGAATGTATCCTAAGCCTAGCATATGCATACCTCTATCCCTGATGCAACATAAGTCTCCTCCAACCAAAGTACATTCATTAAATGTTTAATCAGTTTTGAAAATTATTATTGTAATTACCTATGCTAATGTCCAGGATATGAAACACATTCATTGCAGAAAGCTGTTGCTCCAGTTTTTATATCTCTTCTTCACAAATATAAGTGTTCAATACACGGCAATATTAGCCAAAATAGAAAAATGAAGCTCATTACTTAAATTTTGTTAGTCTGTGTGATCACAACTAAAATCACCTCATATGGAAAGATGTCTTATGGGTGTAGTATATATGCCCTGGATCACACTATCTGTGAAACATTTTAAAGAATTATTTCTCAGATTCACCTAAAAAATCCATCCCACTTAAATTACTTGTGTAAGCATAAAGTCTGATCACGTTCTTGTGGAGAAGACAAAAAAATCCCAATTAAATATAACAGAGAAAACTTGAAGAAACAGTACACTGCAAACAAGTTTAGTTTACTTTCTGTTTCTTTAGAGGAGTTTCCAGAGCAGTTAATGTTAATACAGAAAACGCTTCAATGAGACTTTTAATAATCTTAATGAATTATGACTAAGAAATGAAATTTACAGAATTTTGGATACATTTTGGTAACAAAGTTCTATGAAGACTGTAGCAGTCAAAAATTGTAATGTTGTAAGATCTGCTCAAAGCCATAAATAATTTCTGCAGAGAAAGCTTTTTGGAGCCTGCATGTCCAAATATCAATAAACAAATGCAGACTTTCACATAGGTCTCTATGCACTGCATTTAGGCAATCCCTAAATACAAACCGAACACGAATTTTCAAATTCCCAAATTCTTAGATTCTCAGTTTTGCACATATACCAGACAGCCACAGTACAGTATTTTTAAAAATACATCTTGTGGAGAGTCCTAAAGGGGTTAAGCTAGTAGAACTTGCTACATCTGTCATCCCCTTATTGCTGCATCTTACTTAGGGTAACTGAAAATAAACCAATTTGATGGTGTTTTAAAACACCTTCTATGACTAGGCAATCTATAGGTTGGACAGATTCATAGAAAATTAAAACTTCAACAGTTCAAACTATGAAAACTTAAATGGTTTAATAAAATTTAACTTGTATGAAAACCATAAAAGTAGTTTAGCTATAAACAAATTTCATAAAGAATGCAGGGATGTTTTTCCCTGTACAATGCAAAATTTTATCAATTTAGCCTGGAAAACAAAGCCAGCCCTTTTTCCCCACTTACAGAAATCCTGTAATCTGCAATGCCAGGACTTTGTAGAAGCATTTCCTTAGTTGCTCAGTGTTTGAAAAGAAACAAAACCACTAAACACTTTGGGCGCAGAGGGAAAGTGACTCCACCTTGTCATACTTTCAAGTCATGAAGTTGCCTTACAAGTTCTGATAAGTAACATTGCATAACAGTAAAACTGTGCATTTTCATTTTCTTACACAAGCTAGTATTTTTACCTACAAATGCTTTAAACCCATACTGGATAGCTATTTTTAGTCTAGTGTTCAAAAAGGTCAATAGAATCAGCACATAATGGTGGTGGGTTTTTTTTTTTCTATTAGCAAGTATGTAAGCCCAGCACAGTAAGGCATTTCCTCCCAAATCTACCATTTTATAAATGCAAATGTCAATATAATTGCCTTGCTTTTGAAGTAAACTAGCTAATGGCATACTTACTTTCTAAATATAATGCTAATATAATATATATTTGTCTAATAAAATTAGACAAATTTAGCTTAAAGTTTGCCAGTCTTAGAAACTTATACTTAAAATGCAAATATACAAAACCCAAACCAATATCATAGAAGTAGCATTGCTAACTACTCTAATATAAAGGAACAGACACAGAAAGAAACTGAATGCAAAAGAAGCAGTAGCTAGCAGCAGAATCAATTAATTCCTTTTCCTCCACCTAGTGCAGTGATGGAGCTACTCATAGCAGGAACTACCCTGTAAACCATACCCGAGTAAAAAGGATGGAGGCACAGACTCTAAGGCTTTCATTTGTAGTTAGAGACAGATAGAAAACTTCATCACAATAAAGGAGGGCGTAGAAGCTTCATAAGGTGACAGGGAATGTATGGGGCCAACATCAATGTCAGTGTTCTTCAAAATGCTCTTAGAACCTCAGTTCCTCTCAGAGTCATAGAATGGTTTGGATTGGAAGGGACCTTAAAGACCACATAGGTCCAAGGCACCTGCCATGGGCAGGGACACCTCTCACTAGGCCAGGTACTCAAAAACCCATCCAACTTGGCCTTGAACATTTCCAGGGAGAAGGCATCAACTACTTTGAGCCACCTGTTCCAGCCTCTCACCACCCTCATAGGAAAGTATTCCTTCCTAATATCAAATCTTAACCTACTCTCTTTCAGCTTAAAACCATTAGCCTTCACCCTATCAGTACAAACCCTTGTAAAAACTCCCTCCCCAGCTTCCCTATAGGCCCTGCCTTCAGATACTGAAAGACCACTATAAGGTGTCCCTGGAGCCTTCCATTCTTCAGGCTGTACAACCCCAAACCTCTCAGCCTGTCTTCATAGCAGAGGTGCTCCATCACTCAGCCCATCTTTGTGGCCCTCCTCTGGACTCAGATGATGTCGTTCGTTTTCCATCAAACTTAACTCTGCATATTCCCACCTAGCCTAAGCCAGAAAGAAACCCTTTCTGGCTGATGAAGACTGATTTTAGGGCCAACTGTCTCCCCAAACTCATCACAGCAGTCAGCACTGAACCCAGCTTTTGGGGCCAGGCTGCCTGGGTTGGTTCTCACTCACAGATGCCGTAGAAACCTGGTGAAGCTGTAACCTCTGTGACATCCAGAGACCTAAACTAGGGGTACAACAGTGAATATTTTACTCCCTGAAACAGCAGAAGTTTTAACAGCAGCCTGTGATCACTCTGGAGAGGAATACACTGATGTTAGCTTTGGAAATGACTGTGCATCTGCTTTTTTATAAGCAGATGCATTCTTGGTGTTTATTAAACTCCACTTTATCTATATAGGATGTACAGGAGCTAAAAGCTTCACTGCTGTTTAATCTGATTTAAATTAGTCCTCCCAGACAGCATGCTTTTGAATCTCAGAAGAACAGAATGTCACTTTCAGACTTACCTTTCTCTGTTTTGTCTTGTTCAGTTTCTTTTCCACTTTTCCCTAGAATATTAAAAATATAATTTAATTGAAATAAACCCATTTTAACAGTTTATGATAAGAAAGAGGTAGAAGAAAATTCTATGTTATACTAAGAATGTAATTCAGCCAACAGGACTTTTTTTTTTTTCATTTTCATTTATTAAAGTAACCATTGAGTAACAACTGACCTATATAGTTGCATACAGTTCTTTCTCTGAAGATGCTTCAAATAATACATTATTGCTTCTGTCATAAAATATTTCATAAACTTTCCCCTTCAGATATTTGCTAAATTTTTGGTGATACACACAGTGCAGGCTATTTTGCAAGAAAGAAACCTGTTCACCAATTAAAAACCCCATGGGATCACTAGCTTAATATTTATATTTGATTAACGTTTCAAAACCATGAGAATCAGTTGGAAAACTAAGTCTCATTTTCAGAAGTGACTTGGGCACTCGTCTATGTGTGTATCCTGAAGGTGGTTCTTACAGAGATAGGCTTGTCCTCTCTTTCTCCTCTCTAAACATGTTTCTATCCTGTCCTAATCTGTAATATTTAAAACATCTTGCCTTACAATTCTAACATTTTTATTCTGTTCCCAGTTTTATCCCAATAATTCCCAATAATTTTAATATTTCCTCCCAAAATAGAGAATACTAAAAAGGTCAGATGGCTTTTTAGTTAGTTTTTTTCCGTTCTAACATGTTTTTTAATTCTGAGGTATTCTTATATTTAGAAAAAGAAAAATTTTTAAATTAATAAATCGATTAGACACCTGGTCAGAATGCCCCATCTTCACAGTTTTTTTAAACTGACAGCTCAGAACCATTATATTGGTAACAAAACACACCACATAAAAACGTGTTTTTCAACATGTCTTTTTTTCATTGAGAAACTGGGTTATGTGCAACACATGAAATAAAATTATTTTACATTCCAATTTCACCCTTTGCTACAAGCTGATAACTGCTACTACTGAATGTATAGACAGTACAGCTTTGATTGTTATATTCAGTACAAGGTAGAATGAGTATTAATTTATTACTATATGGTAAACGAATATGCTCACACTGAAAGTTAGTCACATCTTCAGTTACATCATAAAACACAGATTGTCAATTACATTGAAAGAAACTACAAAAAGATCTATAGAGTCATACTATGTGATAACTTGGAAAAGGAATACTACTATAACAGTACATTAATGAAATTGTTTTTCAGTACTTGCTAACATACTTGGTTTTTATTTTTATGCATACCACACAATAAAATGGTCACATCCAACCATATGTCATCAGAAACACTGCATTTTTAAAAGAGCAGTAACACAGCTCCAAATGAGACACTGAATAGTTTATATACACATACTTCTACTATTTTTTTCTCAATTCAAAGCATATAAACAACTCATTAAGGATAGCAAACCATGATATAGCATGCTACCCAGACATTCAATTTGCCCTGTATCTTTTCCCTTATCAGAAACACTGATATTCTCACCTGACCTCTTCTAATACCCTCTAGGTCACTCAGCAACCCCTTTCCACCCATCCTGGGCATTCATGTTATCTCTGTAACTTCTTTTCTAGCAGAGAAAGAACTAGGTATGAGCTCATCACTCTAAAGCTTGTCCATAGCTTCCATTTCTTGTCCAGTTTCACATTTCTCTATTACTGCATCTCATGCAGTGTATAATCTACATTCCTCTATACCAATTTCTATACTAGGATCAATTCTTCAAACTCTCTCACAGTCTTGTTTCAACCTGTTGTCTGCTAAATTAGCTGCCACTGATTTAACCAAAGGCTCTTCAATGATCTTCAAACACTCCAGCTTCTCCTTCTAGGTAGCTGCTTTTGAAATTCATCATAATTTGATCTTGTTAGCTCTAAAGATCTTGTTTCTCTCAGCTCTCACTATACATAAGTAAGAATTCACTTCAGTATCATATTCAGCACATACTGCTTTGTTCCCTTCATGCTAATCCCCAGCTTACTTTGATGGTGCAAATGGTTTTAATTATGCTATTTCTGATAATGGTTTAAAAACGTGCTGTCTCAAAGACAGGGATATGATAGTAAATCTTGAGACTATTTTGTCATCAACTTAACTAACCATAGCTCAGCAAAAAAAAAAAAAAATTAATAAAAAATTCTTAGCTCTTTAAACCAATGTCATCCTTTACTCCATTTTACTGTTTCCAACAAAACAAATCCAGATCAAAAGGATAGAAAAAACCTGGTTTAACCAATCTCTGCAGAATTCATAAAAAATTCTTAGCTCTTTAAACCAATGTCATCCTTTACTCCATTTTACTGTTTCCAACAAAACAAATCCAGATCAAAAGGATAGAAAAAACCTGGTTTAACCAATCTCTGCAGGCCAAGACTGCTATCACCATGTAGCGTAGGCACCAAGTATTCCTAATAAGGTTTCTAGTATCCAGAATGAAATTACTTTTCATATTACAACATGTCTAAATGTTTGTGAGTGCATCACAATGATCCAAGTCACAACTAAAATTGTATTTCAGATCTTGTAAATTTTACTTTAATCGAAATTAACACTATAAACATATACTACAATTTGTTATTAACAGACATAATTTTTGAAACACAAAATTTACAGTGAGATTCAGCAAAACCATGACATTTTTCAGTATCTTTCCTATATCCAATCTTATCAATTTACTTCTTAGGAAGTGTCATGATACGTTTTCAATTACTCAGAATGTGAAAGAGTCACTTAAAATTGCAGTACATTTCAAATATTAAAATAAAAAATTGTTATCTTGCTCATCTTTAAATTTTGCTTTCCTTACTGGTATTTCTTCCTGTGATTTCCAAAAAGCAACTGAATCCAATATTTCATAGATTCATTGAGATCTAGCAAGAAGCAATGTAGCAATGTGAAAATATAAGGAAAGGTGTAATCTTTGGACTTTGTCTTAAACCTTTATTTGGTGAAATTTCCTCATGAAAATATAGAGATGTCTGAAAACCAAAAATGTCAAGGAAGATTTTTTAATAGGGAATACACAGACACAACATACTCGCCAGGTTTCTGATGTGAACTATGGACAATAACCTAGAATATTTCTTTATGAAAGGCAGATATCACACTCCCCTCACACATTTGTATTTGTTGGAGTGATATCTCATACATTAAGTAGGAATTAGAAAATAGTAATAATGGGCAAAATTCAGGCCAAACTGGTTGCAGAATAGCTTAAACCCCAGATGAAGCAACACAATTATAGAAGACACAGACCTTGCAGTAGTTCCCATTTCCTTCACAATAACACCACCCAGAAATAAAAATTACTTCTACTTGCTATATTTCTTCTTCCTTGTAAACAGTACTTTCAAATACATTTTGAATGTTTGCAAGTACTGGCTGAAGCAAATATTTATCCTCATAGTTAATATCTACCACATTTTGGAAAAAAATAATGACACTAGAAAGACAAAGATATTGTTTTGTGTTTTATTGCAGCCAAACATTAAAACAGATTAAATATACATATTTTAATAGTCTGCTTGACCTTGCTCAGCTTGGCATATTTTTGTAAACATGAAGCACGTAAAATCACATACCCAGTTACAAAATACTTAAAATTTGATCACAGCATAATATACTCTCACAGTCCCATAATTCTACAAATAGGCTGCCACTGAAATATAAAAAGTCCTCCATTCACCATTCTAAAATTATTCTCAAGCTTCCTCACAAAATATGGCTTTGTAAAAATTATTGCTTTGCAATTCACAATCACAGGTAATTTTGCTAGAATATCCCATCCCAAACCACATCACAGTCTAAAAGTATTATTGCTTTCCTGAAAAGTCTAAAGAAATCACTTTGGGACATGGGTGCTTGCTGATCAGATGTAACACTCACTTGGATGGAGTCTTCCTGAAATCCCAGACACAAAAAGGCAATACATTATGCCTTTTTCACTGTAAATGTAAGCAGCTGAAAACCTGACTTCAAAACAGTGTTGCAAAAATTTAAAACCTCCCTTCCAAACAAAAGGCAACCACTTTTAGGGTTACCAAACTGATCTTTCTTCTTAAAAATTCATCTTACTTTATTTCTTCTAAGCTCTCATATCAGGCTTGGCAATTTCCTAAAATCACAGCAATTATTCCTGAGCCAAAAAGGAATACATGCAAAATGTCAAAGAATTAAGTATGTGTTCATAATTGTGGAACAGCAGCACAGAACAGGTAAAAAGTACACCTGTTATATTGGAATTCTAAATTACTTCAAGTCTAAATTTCAGACGTACCATTTACAAGAGCATTTGTGATTGTAGGTCTTCAATATTGTTATCCTATTTTTCTTAAGGTTGACTTTCCAAAGCTTTTTAAAATAAAATTTAAATGTCAAGTTTTTATGCAAATTTGACTTTAAAATAATTCACTGAATATTTAGCTGACTAATTATCCAGCTTTGAGATCATTATATTGGTAAGCAAACCAGAATTATACTGCATTCAACCTGATTTCAGCAACTCAGTTTTGTTGCAATCTACACTGACTCCCTGTCAGGCTATTACGTAATTTCTAGACATTTTAGCTTTAAAATTCAAATGTGCACAAATAGTAAGTTCTAATTCACACACAAGGGTTTCTGGAAAAAGTAAATTAGTAATCTGCCCTTTTACAAGTATGAATTAAACATACACATTTTGTATCTTGTTAAACTATTTTAAAAATCATCTGAAATTCATGTAGCGTAACTGTTGACATAACATCAGTGCAAAGAGATTTAAGTCAAACTTCACAGAATAGTGTGTGCCTGATTAGTGTTTTCAGTAAAATGCAGTTAGGCTGTATGCTATATCAGCAGTTATAAAACATAAAAAAAATTCATAATACTATACCTTTCATTTGACCAAACTGCTCTGTACATACTGTATGAATCCACAAAAAAGATATATATTAAAATCTGAAAAAATGTACTTGCTGCTACATTATAAATAGAATACTAACAATTGCTTGAACAGCACATAT